CGGATGTGCGTAAACACCTTCTGGCAGAATACAATCTTGAGATTGGTGCCGGGTTAGGGGTTTTTGCCGGCAAAGTCTGGCGCATCGGTTTGATGGGATATGCGGCACGCAAAGAAAACGTTCTGCTGTGTGTTAACGCGCTGGCCAACGCCCTTAAATAGAGACGCCTCTCTGTTGTCAGGTTAAGCGCCAGGTTCTAGCGCTTAGCCCCACTGCCTACCAACGGTTTCAGAAAACGTCCGGTATGAGATTTGCGTACCTTTGCAACTGCTTCAGGTGTGCCGGTCGCAACAATAGTGCCGCCACCGGAGCCGCCTTCAGGTCCCAGATCAATCACCCAGTCAGCTGTTTTGATGACATCCAGATTGTGTTCGATAACCACAACCGTGTTGCCCGCATCGCGCAACCTGTGCAGTACATCCAACAATTGAGCGATATCGTGAAAGTGCAGGCCGGTTGTTGGTTCGTCAAGAATATACAGCGTCTGTCCAGTATCCCGCTTAGACAGCTCCCGTGACAGCTTCACTCGCTGCGCTTCGCCACCGGATAAGGTGGTCGCCGATTGTCCCAGCCTCACATACGACAAGCCGACATCCATCAGTGTCTGTAGTTTGCGAGAGAGCATGGGGACAGCATCAAAAAATGTTCGTGCATCTTCGATGGTCATATCCAGAACTTCGTGGATGTTTTTACCTTTGTAGCGTACGTCCAGAGTCTCCCGGTTGTAGCGCTTGCCGTTGCAGACGTCACAAGGCACGTAGATATCCGGCAGAAAATGCATTTCTACTTTGATGACACCATCACCCTGACACGCCTCACAGCGACCGCCTTTAACGTTGAAACTGAATCGCCCGGGTTTGTACCCGCGCGCGCGGGATTCCTGTACCTGGGCAAACAACTCTCTTATGGGGGTGAACAGGCCAGTATAGGTCGCCGGGTTGCTGCGTGGCGTGCGCCCTATCGGGCTCTGATCAATGTCGACCACCTTGTCCAGATGATGCATGCCTTCCATGTGATCAAATGGTGCAGGCTTCAGTGTCTCAGCCCGGTTCAGCGCAGTGGCAGCTAAAGGATAAAGGGTTTGATTGATCAGCGTTGATTTACCTGATCCTGAAACGCCGGTAACGCAGGTCAGCAGGCCGCAAGGTATAGTGACCGTCACGTCCTGCAGGTTATTACCCTTGGCACCGATCAGAGTGATCACCTTTTCTTCATCAAACGGCGTGCGTACGCCGGGCACGGCGATGGATTTGCGCCCGGAAAGATACTGGCCCGTGATGGAGTCTTTTGCCTTGAGGATATCTTTGATGCCACCTGCGGCGACGATTTTACCGCCGTGAACACCTGCGCCGGGGCCAATATCGATCAGGTAGTCTGCAGCGCGAATGGCTTCTTCATCATGTTCAACCACCAGTACGGTGTTACCCAGATCGCGCAAATGTTCCAGGGTGCGTAACAGGCGTTCATTGTCACGCTGGTGCAAGCCAATAGAAGGTTCATCAAGAATGTACATGACACCGACCAGGCCAGCACCAATCTGGCTGGCCAGACGAATACGTTGCGCCTCGCCACCGGACAGCGTATCTGCACTTCGATCCAGGGTCAGATAATTGAGGCCGACATCCACCAGAAAACGCAGACGGGCAATAATTTCTTTCAGAATTTTGTCTGCAATAGTGGCGCGCTGGCCTTTCAACTTCAGAGATTCAAAGTGCTTCAGCGTGTCTTCGACCGAGCCATGGGTAATTTCCGGCAGGTTGCTGGTACCAATAAACACATGGCGGGACTCCTGTCGTAAACGTGTGCCGGCACAGCTGGGGCAATCGGCCACACGCAGATATTTCTGCAGGTTCTCCCGCACCATATTGGAGTCGGTCTCGTGGTAACGACGCTCCATGTTGGGGATGACACCTTCAAAGCGGTGGCGCCGCTTGATCACATCACCTCGATCATTGGCGTAGCTGAAATCGATACGGGTCTGCCCGCTGCCGAACAATATGGCCTGACGTTGCTTCTTATTGAGCTTTTTAAAAGGCATCTCAACGTCGAAGCCGTAGTGATCAGCCAGCGAGGTCAACATATGGAAATAGTAGACGTTGCGTCTGTCCCAGCCACGAATGGCACCCTCCGCAAGGGTCAGGTCTTCGTCGGCGACCACAAGTTCTGGATCAAAGAAATTGGTAACGCCCAGACCATCACACGAATCGCACGCCCCGGCAGGGTTGTTAAAAGAAAACATGCGAGGCTCTAGCTCGGAAATGCTGTAGCCACATTGCGGGCAGGCAAAGCGCGCTGAAAAAATCTGCGGCGGCGCTTTTTCGTCTTCCATGCTGCGCACCAGAGCAACCCCGTCAGACAGCTGCAGCGCGGTTTCAAAACTTTCTGCCAGTCGTTGTTGCAGGCCATCGCGAATGCGTACGCGGTCGATGACCGCCTCAATGGTGTGTTTTTTGTTCTTGTCCAGGTCAGGGGTGGCGTCGAGATCAACAACAATGTTGTCGACGCGGGCGCGCACGAAACCGTTGCTGCGTAATTCTGCAAAAACGTGCTGGTGCTCGCCTTTACGCTCTGAAATGACTGGCGCGAGAATCATGATGCGCTCGCCATCCTGCATCTGCAGCACCTGATCAACCATCTGGCTGACAGTCTGCGCGGCCAGTGGTTCGTCGTGATCTGGACAGCGCGGCTCACCTACTCTGGCAAACAACAGGCGCAGATAGTCGTAGATTTCTGTGATCGTGCCTACGGTAGAGCGTGGGTTGTGTGAGGTCGATTTCTGTTCAATCGAAATGGCGGGTGATAACCCTTCAATATGGTCGACGTCTGGCTTTTCCATCATCGACAGAAACTGTCGCGCGTAGGCGGACAGCGATTCGACGTAGCGACGCTGACCTTCAGCATAGAGCGTATCAAATGCCAGAGAAGACTTACCTGATCCGGACAAGCCAGTGATTATCACCAGCTTGTCGCGTGGAATATCCAGATCGATGTTCTGCAGGTTATGGGTGCGCGCACCACGCACTGAAATGGTATCCACGGATTACACTCGGGAGAAAACCGCCCAAGTTATCCTGCTCAGGTTTGTGTAGCAACTCTATTTCCGTCGGGTCAGCAGCAGAGTGGGTATCAGGCTTAATGCGAGGATAAATAGCGCTGCGGTTGATGCTTCAGGCAGGCGTTCATCAGCGGCCAGTCGATACACCCGGGTTGCCAGGGTTTCGAAATTAAAGGGCCGCATGATCAGTGTAGCGGGCAGTTCTTTGACCACATCGATGAAGGTCAGCAGACCCGCATAGGCAATGGTTGACGTTAACAGAGGTACATGGATGCGGCCGAAAAGTCGGGTTGGCGATGCGCCTAAGGTGCGGGCAGCGTCATCAAGAGACGGATGAATCTGCCCCAGTCCGCCTTGCACACTGTTGAAAGCAACCGTCATGAAGCGTGCGATATAGACGAATACCAGACCAGCGATTGTGCCGGTGATCATCAGTGAGTTAATGCTGTCAAACTCTGTTGCCAGCCACTGGTCGATAGCGGTCAGCGGTAAAAGGGCGCCGGTCGCCAGCACCAGCCCTGGAATCGCGTATCCTAAAGTGGCAACGCGAATGCCGTACCTCACCGGTACGGTAGGCCTCAGTCGAGCGGCATAGGCCAGCCACATGGCACCGATCACACACAAAGCGGCGGCGATGGTGGAAACGTAAAGTGAGTTTTTTACAAACCCGATAAAACGTGTGCTGAGCAGTGGATCCCCGGTTTCCAGAGCATAATTCAGCAGTAAACCTGCCGGCAGTACAAAACCCAGAACAACAGGTAACAGGCAGACAATAAGGGCAAGAGCGCTTCTGAAGCCTGTGAGTCTCTGTTTTCTGGCAGGCTTGTCTGGTGTCGCCAGGTTGAAGCGCTGGCCTCTGCGGGTCGCCTGCTCGAGCGCAACCAGGAATATCACCAGCAGGAATAACCATGCGGCCAACTGGAGCGCTGCACCGCGCTCTCCCATAGACAGCCAGGTTCGGAATACGCCGGTGGTCAGTGTGGCCACCCCAAAGTGTTCCACAACCCCGAACTCGGCTGCGGTTTCCATCAGGACAAGCGCCAGCCCGCCTGCTATGGCAGGTCTGGCCAGTGGCAGGGTCACTCTGCGGAACAGCTCAAAATTAGAAGCGCCCAGCGTGCGTGAGGCGTCGGACAGCATGCTCGATTGTGAGTCCAGATTAACCCGCACTAACAGATAGACGTAGGGGTAGAGGACCAGTGACATGACCATGGCGGCTCCGGGTAGAGAACGTATGGGTGGCAGGCGAAATTCGCTGACCCCCCAACCAGTGATTTCCCGGATAAATGCCTGCACGGGACCAGACACTTCCAGCAGGTCAGCGTAGACGTAGCCGGCCACGTAAGTGGGCAGAGCCAGGGGCAATACCAGTGCTGGTGCAACCCAGCGGTGGCCGGCAAATTCATAGTGAGTACTCAACCAGGCGGTGCTGATGCCAAAAACACCCGCGAGCAGCCCGGTCAGTAACATCAGCAGCAGCGTATTGAGGACATATTCAGCCAGCAGATATTCACGCAGGTGTAACCAGACCTCATCAGCCGGTCCGAACAGCGCCGCCAGCACAATAATCAGCGGCAGGGCAACCGGAATGGCAATCAGCAGCGTGCCGAGGTCGAGGATGCGAGGTCGATTACTCATCTAAATTTGATGCGTGGACGTAGAACACTGAGAATGGCTGACCGATGTATAGGACTTTCGCGTGAGTATAACCTTCCGCAGCATTCAACACGCTTACACTGATGTGTCTGTTTTACGCGATATCGACTTGGCCGTTGAGAGCGGTGAGATCGTCTGTGTCCTTGGACCTTCGGGCAGTGGCAAATCAACTTTGCTGAAACTCGTTGCCGGGCTCGAAACGCTGCAGGCTGGCAGCATCGAACTGCCTGATTTAAAGGTCACGCCGCAACGCTGCCCGCCGCCAGAAAAGCGTCCAGTGGGCCTGGTGATGCAGGAGCATGCTTTGTTTCCGCACCTTACAGTAGCGGCCAATGTGGCATTCGGACTGCATGGCCTGGCCCGCAATGAGCAGGATGAGCGGGTTAAGCGGTTGCTGGCACTGGCAGGTCTGGAGATGATGGCTGACCGATATCCACATACCCTGTCTGGCGGTCAGCAACAGCGTGTTGCTCTGGCTCGTGCTCTAGCGCCGGAGCCGGCGGTGATGTTGCTGGACGAGCCGTTTGCCAGTATCGATGTGCTCCTGCGCAATCGACTGCGCAGTGATACGCGACAATTACTCAAAGCATCTGCAACAACAGCGTTACTGGTCACCCATGACCCTGCTGACGCGATGGCGGTAGCTGATCGTATCGCGGTGGTGGTCGCTGGTGAGCTGGTTCAATTTGGCGAGCCCAAAGCACTTTGGGAGGCGCCGGCGCATCCTTTTGTGGCTGAAGTTCTGGCGGGTCGCCAGCTGTTTACTGCGGTTTTCACCCAAGGCACCTTGGTCTCGGTGTTTGGTACCTTTGCCACACACGCCACACTGACTGAAAACGCGCCTGTTCAGGTAGCTGTAGCGCCCGCCCGAATCAATCTGGTGCCGTCCTCGCAGGGGCAGGTCTCAATTGTTGATATCCGATTTTCAGGTCAGCATTTCACGATTCAACTGGACGCTGCGGGGCAATTGCTGGAGGCGCAGGTGTCCGATGCCAGCCACTTCAAGCTTGGGCAATCCATTGCAATTGAGATTGCGCCCGAAGATGTGCTGATATATGGTTGAGAATGATTCTCATTTAAGTTGTATTATGATTCGATCTGTTGCCCTTGTGCTCCTGTTACTGCTGCCGCTGACATCAATTTCAGCTGCGGAACTCAATCTGTATTCTGCTCGGCACTACGACACCGACTTCTCTCTATATGATCGTTTTACTGAAGATACCGGCATAAAGGTCAATCTTATCGAAGGCGGCAGTGATGCGTTGATAGAACGTATTCTTGCCGAAGGCGAGCTAAGTCCAGCTGATATTCTGATCACCGTTGATGCCGGCCGGCTCTGGCGTGCTGCACAAGCTGGCGTTTTTCAATCCATAGATTCCCCAACCCTGAATGCGCGTGTACCGCAATACCTCAGAGATCCGGACAATCTCTGGTTTGGTCTCTCCAAGCGTGCGCGGGTCATTGCCTATCGCAAATCAGAGGGCCTGCCCGCACCGGTGACCTACGAAGATCTGGCAAAGCCAGCGTACCGGAACCGCGTCTGTATGCGTTCTTCTTCGAATATCTACAACTTGTCGTTGCTGGCCGGGATGATTGAAACAGCTGGGAATGAGGCTGCCATGCAATGGGCGCAGGGTGTTGTGCAGAACTTTGCGCGGGCTCCTCAGGGTAATGACACCGCTCAACTGCGCGCTGTGGCCAGTGGTGAGTGCGGAGTAACCATAGCCAACACCTACTATCTGGGGCGGATGATGGCCTCCAGTGATCCTGCGGACAAGGCTGTGGTGGCGGAGCTGGGAATTGTTTTCCCCGATCAGGATGGTCGCGGTACCCACGTGAATATCAGCGGTGCGGGGGTGACGCGTTATGCGCCAAATAAACCTGCGGCAATTGCGTTTATGGAATATCTGACCAGCGAATTTGCTCAGCGTCTGTTTGCTGAAGGAAACAATGAGTATCCGGTGGTGGGAAAGGCTACCGGCCCTATTTCTGAACTCGGTGATTTCAAAGAAGAACAGATTAATGCTGCGATCTTTGGCAAGCGGCAGGCCCAGGCGGTGATGATTTTTGATCGGGCGGGCTGGCGCTGATTATTAAAAGCTGTAATCCCACGTGTATCTGCGCGGTTTATCCGTTGGGCTGCGTCAATCAATCCATTACACTAGTACCACTTGAAATAAAAAGAGCAGGACCATGGCCAGGGGAATCAACAAAGTCATCCTAATTGGTAATCTGGGCAGAGACCCGGAAACGCGTTATGCGCAGAATGGTGGTGCGGTCACCAACTTCAGTGTGGCCACTTCAGAATCCTGGCGCGATAAAGCCAGCGGTGAAAATCAGGAGCGTACTGAATGGCACAATGTTGTGTGCTTTGCGCGTCTGGCAGAAATTGCAGGCGAATACCTGCGTAAAGGCTCAAAGGTCTACATAGAAGGCAGTTTGCGCACCACCAGCTGGGAGCAGGATGGCCAGAAAAAATACCGTACAGAAATTATGGCCCGCGAACTGCAAATGTTAGACAGCCGCGGTGGTAATATGGACGGCGGTATGGGTGGCGGCATGGGCGCTGACCAGGGCTCACGCAGAGCGCCGGCGGGTGCGCCAACAGGGTTTGAATCTAATTCACCCGCAATGGCGGACAATGCACCGACACTGTCTGACGATACCGACTTCGAAGACGATATTCCGTTTTAGTCCGGGCCAGCCACCCAGGCCTGGTTGATTGGGGCTGGGCCTGCTACAGCAGATATATGGCAAACAGGGCCGTGCCCAACAGCAGCCGGTAGATCACATAGGGGGTCATACCGGTTCGCTCAACCAGGGCGATAAAGAAGTGAATACAGGTGTAGGCTGCCAGGCCTGAAAGAACCGCGCCGCTGACAAGATCCCACCACTGCTGTTGCGCAGCGTCGCGAGCCAGGTCAATACTGAGCAATACCTGGGCACCTAAAATCGTTGGAATGGCCAACAGGAAAGAAAAGCGGGCTGCGCCGGTGCGACTGAGACCCACCATCAGCGCTGCAGTAATGGTAATACCCGAACGGGAAGTGCCGGGAATCAATGCCAGCATCTGCATGCCGCCAACAAATGCCGCCTGACCCCATGATAAAAGGTCCTGCTTGCCAGGTTTGCGGTCAGCCAGCCACAGCAGAATACCAAACACGATTGTTGTGGTGGCAATCACAGGCACACTGCGCAGGTGGGCTTCGATCAAATCTTTGCCAAGTAGGCCTGCCACCATAACCGGTAAGGTGGCGAGGGCAAGTTTGAAGACCAGGTCAATTTCGGGTTTGTAAATACGATGTGCAGGATAGGTGGCCACCGCTGTGGCCATCTGCAGCAAGTCTGCGCGGAAGTAAGCAATCACCGCAATCAGTGTGCCGAAGTGTACACCTACGTCAAAGGCCAGCCCCTGATCCGGCCAGTCTGTCAGCAGCGAAGGCAGAATCAGATGCGCAGAGCTGGAGATCGGCAGGAATTCGGTTAAGCCCTGTACCAGGCTCAGGAAAATGATCTGTAGCCAATCCACGATAAATCAGGCGCGTAGTTTCTGATCGAAATACGACAGCACATCGTCCAGCGCCTGTTGTGCAGGGGTGCCGCCTTTGATGAGGTCCAGGGTTAGAACGGAATGTCCGTTGCCTGGCAGCTCCACCAGCGTTATGCGTTTTTTGTCATTGTTAAATGCCTGGTCCAGTGCTCTGAATTTATCGGCAGTGCACAGTTTGTCACCGGCGAAGCGCAGCGCCAGCATCGGACCGTGTTCGTCGAGGCGTTGGCGGGCCTGATTAACTTCATCCGCGGACATATGCAGCGCGTGTTGATCAAACAGCGGCATGGAGGGTTGTGAGGCAACGCCGGCCAGGACATGCTCATCTGCCATTAACGAAATGGCAAAATTGCCGGTCAGACACATGCCGATCACACCTATTGCGCTGGCCTCGCGCTGTGTTTTCAAATCGCGACACAACGCTTTCAGCCAATCTACAATCGGACTGCTGGCATTTTTCTCAAACAGTTTAAACTCACGTCGCAGACAGAACACGCGAGCCACATTCCCGACCAGCGACACCTTACCCAGTGGTCCAAACAGGTGCGGTAATACCACCTGGTAGCCGTGTTCTACGAATGTGTTGGCAAGGCTGACGGTTTGGGGGCCGATGCCCGGCAATTCCTGGATGATAACAACTGTGGGTCCGCCATCACCTTTGCTGTAGACATCGTGGGTCACTGGCTGCCCATCGCTTAAAGGCGCGGTGAATGCGCGTCTGTCGAAGGTATCTAACATGGTTAAAGCCGCTGTGATGTCGCGCGAAAGTATACATGCCGACACCATTTTTTGAGCCTTGCAAATGTAAGTGGCTGGGGGCTGTATAATGCCCCGGCATCCAGGCTACACCAGAGTGTCCATGACCACTGATCAGAGCGTTGAAATCCCCCTTTTTCCGCTGCGCAGCGTGCTGTTTCCCGGTGGTGTGCTGCCGTTGCGCATTTTCGAACCCCGCTATGTGGATATGGTAAGTCGCTGTATGCGTGAGGGAATCGGATTTGGTGTTGTACTGATACGCGAAGGCGCTGAAGCGCGCCTGGAGAATGACGCACAACAGCCGGATGTCTTTCATATCGGTACCGAAGCGGAGATCGTCGATTTCAATCAGGCTGATAACGGACTGTTGGGCATTGTGACCCGTGGGCGAAGAAAGTTCATGGTGCTTGAAAGCTATGAAACTGCGGACCACCTTTTAATAGGCCGTGTGGATTTTCTTGCCGAAGAAGCCCCTGGAGAGTTATTGCCCGAACACGACGCACTGGTGAGCGTGCTCAAAGAGCTGACCCAACATCCACTGGTGCAGAAACTGAATATTGAAGTTGATTTTGCAGAAGCACGATCGGTCAGCTTGCGTCTTGCTGAACTGCTGCCGATTGAGCCGGAGATCAAGCAGGCTTTGCTGCAATTGCGATGGCCACGTGAGCGTCTTGCTGAACTGTCCCGCATCGTGGGTAAATTTCAGGGCTGAATTGGTTCTTGCTACCTGTTTGGTACCTCTTTGGTACCTCTTTGGTACCTTATTGGCACTGGGTATGCGTAGCGTGCCTGCGTATAATGGGTCCATGTCAGAAACTCTCAAACAGTATGTCAATGAACTCGGGGTTGCCGCTCGCGCTGCGTCCCGGGTACTGGCCGCTGCAACGACAAAAACCAAATCCGCGGCGCTGCAGGCGATTGCCACGGCGACGGATAAGGCGCGTGCAGAAATAAAGCAGGCCAATGCGCTGGATATGGCTGCGGCTCAGCAAAATGGTATCGATCAACCCCTGATTGATCGTCTGCTGCTCGACGATACCGGCATTGATCGCATGATCGAGGGTATTCTGCAGGTAGATGCGTTGGCAGATCCTGTTGGCGAGGTAAGCGACCTGCGCTACCAACCTTCGGGTATTCAGGTAGGTAAAATGCGCGTGCCCCTGGGTGTGATTGCCATGATCTACGAGTCGCGGCCTAACGTTACCGTGGATGCGGCCAGCTTATCGATCAAATCCGGCAATGCCTGTATTTTGCGTGGTGGTTCCGAGGCCTTTGCATCGAACCAGGCGATTGGAAAATGTGTGAGCCAGGGTCTGGCGCAAGCGGGTTTGCCGGTAACCGCCGTACAGTTGCTGAACACAACTGATCGTGATGCAGTGGGAGAGCTGCTGACGCTGGATGAGTATGTTGATGTCATCGTGCCACGTGGCGGGAAGGGTTTGATTGAGCGCATCATGCGCAACTCAAGTATTCCGATCATCAAGCACCTCGATGGCGTTTGTCATGTCTACATCGACGCCGAAGCAAATATCGACATGGCCGCGGATATTGCCTTCAATTCGAAAGTAGAAAAGTTTGCGGTCTGCAATGCGCTTGAGACCCTCCTGGTACATGAACAGGCAGCGCCTCTGGTATTGCCTGAGTTGTGCCAACGTTTTCAGGTCGCCGGTGTTGAAGTGCGAGGCTGTGAGCGGACGTTAGAGGTTGTCGGGCATGTGAAGCCGGCAGTGGAGGCCGACTGGTACGAGGAATACCTGGGCCCTGTGCTTGCCGTGCGGGTGGTAGATGGTCTTGATCAGGCCATTGCGCACATCAACCAATATGGGTCCCAGCACACTGATGCCATTGTCACAACCGATTACGCTCGCGCCCGTCGGTTTGTAACGGAAGTAGATTCAGCGTCAGTGATGGTAAATACCTCAACCCAGTTTGCAGACGGTTTTGAGTATGGCCTGGGCGCTGAAGTCGGGATTTCCACCGATAAAATCCATGCGCGCGGTCCTGTCGGGCTGGAAGGGCTGACCTCGCAGAAATATGTGGTATATGGCAACGGTGAAATACGCAAACGCTGAGACACCTTTTCAGCCTGAGATTTCAAGCTGGTGTTAGTCGGTCTTTACGGCGGTACTTTTGACCCCATCCACACAGGCCACCTGCACGCAGCTCAAGCCGCTCGCGAAGAGCTCAATCTGTCCAGCGTACATCTGATCCTGTCCGCTCGTCCCGGACACCGATCAGCGCCAGCAGAAGATACAGCCCATCGCTGGCAGATGTTGCAGCTTGCCTGCTCGGTATCCCCAGGATTGGTTGCGGATGACAGTGAACTTCGACGCAGTGGGCTGTCTTATACAATCGATACGTTGGTGGCGTGGACACACGCCCATCCTGGCGTCTTGCCGTGTTGGATCATGGGCCAGGATGCGTTTGCCACGCTGCCCATCTGGCATCGCTGGTTAGAGCTGATGCAGTGGTGCAACATCATTGTCCTGCGCCGACCGGGTGATGAGCGCGTGGAACCTGCGGAAGTAGCGCAATTATGTCGGCGCCACGAAGTCGACGTCATGGATGACCAGAAAATCGGGCAGATCTACCGTGTGCATCGACCTATGCTGGAAGTGTCAGCAACCGATGTGCGAGACAGATTGAAAAAAGGTCTACCGGCCAAAGATTTGCTTGCTGACCCGGTATACACCTATATTAAGGCTCACCACCTTTACGAATATTCGGAGAAGGCTATTTGACCGCAACAAAACTGCGTGATCATATTGTAGAAGCCCTGGAAGAGGGCAAAGGACAAGACATTCAGGCGTTAGACGTCTCCAACCTCACCCCCATTACGGATTTTATGGTGCTGGTCACCGGCACCTCAAACCGTCACGTTAAATCTCTCGTCGATCAGGTTATCGAGGCTGCGAAAGGCTTTGGTGGCAGGGTGCGCGGCGTGGAAGGGCGCGAAAGTAATGAGTGGGTGCTGGTGGATCTGGGTGATGTCATTGTCCATGCCATGCAGAAAGAGGCCCGCGAGTTTTACGACCTGGAGCGACTCTGGGCGGAAATGCCCGCTGACAGCGAAACCCGCGTCTAATTTCTGTCGCTGATGAAACTGACGATTGTTGCTGTGGGCAACAAGTCACCGGCCTGGGTAAAAGCGGGTTATGACGAATACGCCAAACGTTTCCCCCGCGAGTTACCCCTCGACCTGATTGAGATTCCTGCACCACGGCATCACCGCGATCCATCCAGGTTCAAGCTGTTGGAAGGCGAGAAAATGCTGGCTTGCCTGGCCTCTGATGACTGGGTGGTGGCGCTGGAAGAAGGCGGGCGTGCGGTCACCAGTCCGCAACTTGCTGAAAAGCTCTCTGCATGGCAGATGAACGGCCAGAATGTGGTATTTCTGGTGGGTGGCTCAGATGGTTTGGCAGATATCGCACTGAACCGAGCTAACGAACGTATGTCTTTGTCTTCATTAACATTTCCCCATTACGCAGTACGTGTAATTCTTGCCGAAGCGTTGTATCGTGCGCGCAGTATCGGTACTGGTCATCCTTATCACCGGGCATAAACGGCAGCCTGCGTTTGGCAGGTGTGGACAGGCATAGAGTAGGACAACTCAATTGGTTGGTTTAGCCATAAAAGATCCCAGCAGGGAGAAGCAGTTATTTGCGTCGCGTGCGCTTGCGCTGTTCGTGATTATTCTGCTCATGGCTGCTCTGCTGATCCTGCGCTTTGTACAGCTGCAGATCTGGGAGCATGAGACCTATCAGACCCGCTCTGATCAGAATCGCATTCAAATTCAGCCTCTGCCCCCACCGCGAGGTCTCATTTTTGACCGCAACGGTGAATTGCTTGCCGATAATCGAGATAGATCCAGTTTGTCGTTGGTTACCGAGCGAATCGATAATCTGGCCGCTACCCTTGAGCGCCTGGGCCGTCTGGTGAGCGTCACGCCAGCAGATATCTCTGAATTTGAGAATCGTCTGCGCCGTAAACGGCGACCATTTGAGCCGGTAGCTTTGCGGCAAGCTTTAGACGAAGACGAAATAGCCTTGCTGGCGGTTAATCGGCATCAGTTTTCCGGTGTTGAAGTCACTACAGAGCTCATCCGAAATTACCCCTATGGTGAATTGTTTGCTCATGCGGTGGGCTCTGTGCGTCGAATTACCGAGAGTGATTTGAACACACTCGACCCGGTGACTTACAGTGCAACCAAGTTTGTTGGCAAGCGCGGCGTTGAGAAATTTTATGAGCGATCGCTGCATGGCGAAGTGGGATATCAGCAGGTTGAAACGGACGCGCATGGACGAATCCGTCAGGTGCTGGATATCAGTCCTCCAGTTGCCGGTCAGAATATAAGCCTGCAGCTGGACAGTCGGTTGCAGATTGCGGCGACCGCAGCCCTGGGAGATCGTCGCGGTGCTGTAGTCGCGATGGACCCTCGCTCGGGGGGCTTGCTGGCTCTGGTGAGTCATCCGGGTTATGACCCGAATCTATTTATCACCGGTATGAGCTCAGAGCAGTATGCTGAGATGTCCCATTCGCTGTATAAGCCGTTGTTCAATCGCGCCATTAATGGTCAATACGCGCCGGGTTCAACTTTCAAGCCTGTGGTGGGGCTTGCGGCTATAGTTGAACGGGTAACCACCTGGGAAGACACCATAGACGATCACGGCTTTTTTAAACTGCCCAATCAGGACCGAATCTATCGGGACTGGACTTGGAAGGTCAACAATTCTGGTGGTCAGGGCACGGTAGATCTGCATCGCGCTATATACCGGTCCTCCAACGTTTTCTTTTACGATATGGCAACGCGCATGCCGGTGGAACGGTTGGTTTCTTTTGCGCGGCAATTTGGTTTTGGCAAGAATCTGGCTTTTGATATCGCCGACGCGAGTGTCGGATTAATGCCGGATCCGATATGGAAACGGGGTTATAAAGGGGAAGTCTGGTATCCAGGTGACTCGATCAATATGGGTATTGGTCAAGGTGACGTGCTGGTTACCCCGATGCAGATGGCGGTTGTGGCCTCAACGCTGGCAAATCGTGGTGCCATGGTGCGGCCTCGGTTGTTGTTGTCCAGTGATGCACCACTGCCTGAAATAGATCCACCTCCGCCGCTGCCTCAAGTGGAAGGTCCGAGTCCGCAAGACTGGGAGAACATGGTTGATGCCATGGAAGATGTGGTGCACCGTGGTAACAAAGGGTTTCGTGGCAACGGCACAGCCTGGTTCTATATCGGGCAGGATATTTCTTACCGCATGGCGGGAAAGTCCGGCACCGCACAGGTAATCGAAATTCCCCAGGGTGAGGAATATGACGCTGACCTGATTGAGGAATTTAATCAGAAACATGCGTGGTTTATTGCTTTTGCGCCGGCTGACGATCCGAAGATTGCGCTGGCAGTACTGGTTGAAAACGGTGGGGGTGGTAGCGAGTTTGCGGCACCTATCGCGCGTCAGGTAATCGACGCCTACCTGCTGCCGCAATTGGCGGCGCGGTAAGATGAGCAGCGATTTTATCCGGGCTTTACCCCAGCACGAGCGCGATCTGCGTGCAAACTGGTTCTACAAGATTCATATAGACCCTATCCTGTTTTTCCTTCTGAGCGCGGTGGTCGTATACGGCCTGATTGTTCTGTATAGCGCAGTGGGGCAGAGTGACGCATTGTTTCAGGCGCAGCTGGTTCGATTGGTGCTGGCTTTTGCTGTACTGATCGTGGCTGCGCAATTGCCGCCACAGTTGTATATCCGCTGGGCGCCTGTGGTCTACCTGCTTGGCCTGGTATTGCTGGTACTTGTGTTGCTGGTTGGCGTTACCGTCAAAGGCTCGCAACGCTGGTTAGACATTCCCGGACTGATTCGCTTCCAACCTTCGGAATTGATGAAAATCGCTGTGCCCATGGCTGTGGCCTGGTACTTCCACAGCCGCCCCTTGCCGCCGTCGTTTAAGGACGTTTGTGTTGCGCTTGCGATAGTTGCCATGCCTGCAGGGTTGATCATTATGCAGCCTGATCTGGGTACCGGTATTTTAGTAGCTGGAGCGGGCCTTGCCGTGGTGTTGCTGGCGGGTTTGCCCTGGCGCTGGATTTTGTATGCGTTTCTGGCCTTTGCAGCTGCTGCGCCGGGATTGTGGTACACCTTACAGGACTATCAGCGTCAGCGAATTCTGACACTCTTTGACCCCGAAAGTGATCCGCTGGGGGCTGGCTGGAATATCATTCAGTCAACTACCGCAATTGGGTCTGGCGGTTTGTTTGGCAAAGGCCTGTTACAGGGCACCCAGAGTCACCTGGAGTTTTTGCCTGAAGCGCGGACTGATTTTATTATCGCCGTTGTTGGTGAGGAGCTGGGTCTGGTTGGAGTAGTGGCGCTTCTGATCCTTTATCTGCTCTTGATTGGTCGGGGCCTGTACATGGCAGCCCATGCGGAAAGCACGTTTGGCCGTCTGCTTTCAGGCGCGCTCATCCTGACCTTTTTCGTCTACGTTTTTGTCAATATCGCTATGGTGAGTGGATTACTGCCCGTCGTCGGTGTGCCGCTGCCATTGGTCAGCTATGGTGGCACCTCTGCTATCACGCTGATGGCGAGTTTTGGAATTCTTATGGCCATTAGGATGCATAAAGCATGGTGATGCGAAAAATCTTATATCTCTGCTGTTTTGTCCTGGCCTGGCCCGCGCTTGCACAGGAGAGTTTTCCTCAGCCTTACGCTGAGCGTGCAGATGTGGCCGCATATATTTCAGAATTGGCGGAGCAGCATGGATTTGCGGAGTCTGAGCTCAAGGCTTTGTTTGCCCGTGCGCAACAGCGCCAGGACATTATAGAGCGCATCTCCCGTCCCGCGGAAAAGACCTGGTCATGGGCCCGATATCGAAAGCTGTTAGTTGACGAAGCGCGCATTGAGAAAGGCGTTGCGTTCTGGGCGGATCATGTCGAAACGTTGGCGCAGGCACAGCAGGTTTTTGGTGTCGAGCCGGAATATGTACTGGCGATACTGGGTATCGAAACCCGCTATGGCGAAGTGAAAGGCAGTTTTCACGTGCTGGATGCACTGGCGACTTTGGGTTTCGATTATCCACCCAGAGCCGATTTTTTCCGCAGCGAGCTCACCCAGTTTCTGCTGCTGGCTCGTGAAGAAGGCAAAGATCCCGCTGAATTGCTTGGCTCTTACGCTGGCGCCATGGGTTATGGACAGTTCATTTCCTCCAGCTACCGGCATTATGCCGTCGATTTCGATGAAGATGGCGTCAGAGATATCTGGTCGAATCCGGTTGATGCGATTGGCAGTATTGCCAACTATTTTGCGCAGCACAAATGGCGTGCAGGTGAACTGGTCGCGCGTAAACTGAATGTGTCTGCAGCTGAGGCGCAGCCATGGCTGACAACGGGTTTGTCGCTACCCCATGCCGTTGCTCAACTGGCAGCGAGCGGTTTGCCGGTGTCCGAACTGCCGGGCGATGCCGATGTGGCCCTGTACCGTATGGATGCGCAGGAGGGTGACGAATACTGGCTGGGACTGCACAATTTTTATGTAATTACACGTTACAACCGCAGTCATATGTATGCATTGGCGGTACATCAACTGAGTCAGGAAATTAAGCGCAGATACACTTTGTTGGAGATGCAATGATCAGACAGAACAAGTTTTGGATCGCCTCAGCTCTGGTATGGCTGGCAAGCGGTTGCGCCTACACCGGTGGTGTCAAGATCCCCGGTGCGCCCAAGCCGCAGCAGGATACTGCGCCGCGCCTACCGCATACTACGCTGGCACAAATGCAGCAGCTTCCCGATCCTCCGGTTCTTGATGAGCCTCGCAGCAGGCGTGGTAATGGTCCGGTGTATACCGTTTGGGGTAAATCCTATCGTGTGATGGATTCCGCTGAGGGTTTTGTGCAGGAAGGCACCGCATCCTGGTACGGGACAAAATTCCACGGGCGCGAAACATCCAGTGGTGAGGTTTACGATATTTATCGTCTGACAGCTGCGCATAAGCATCTGCCGCTGCCCACGTATGTGCGCGTGACCAATTTAGCCAACGGCAAAGAGACCGTCGTGAAGGTGAATGACCGCGGACCGTTCCATGGTGATCGCATCATTGATTTGTCTTACGCGGCAGCGGTGAAGCTTGGCTTCCATGAGCATGGTACAAGCCGCGTCCGGGTTGAGGTGCTTGAGCCTGTTTCTGAACCTGAAACGTTTATGGTGCAGGCAGGTGCTTTCAGTGAGTTTGACCGCGCCGATCGAAGTCACCGAGAATTGCAGGCGCTTACTGGCTTCAAGGGCGTCGTGGTGAAAATGCCTTCGGATGGCTTTTATCGTGTCAGGCTGGGACCGGTCTCCGCTGATGATATCCCACGCTTGCAAAATCTTCTGCAGGCGGCAGATTACGGTATGCCTAAATTGATTCCCGCACCTCAGGGTGCCCGTTGAAGGATGGCAGAATAGCCTGGCTCAACGACAAGTAGTATATGGATGAATTTGATGACTGATTGGTTAAAGCGCGGCTTAAAGCTTGCGGGTATGTGGATTGTTCTAGCAGGGGCTTTGGCTAGCCAGGCAGCTGCACCAATTATCCCGCCGCCACCGGATATCGCAGCCAGTTCCTACCTGCTGGTAGACGCGGCATCGAAAAAGGTCCTGGTTGAACATAATGCTCATGCCCGCATTCCACCCGCCAGTCTGACTAAGATCATGACCAGCTACCTGGTCGAGCAGGAAGTCTCGAGCCAGCGGATAAACCTTGAAGACCAGGTGATGATCAGCGTTAACGCCTGGCGCACAGGAGGCTCAAAAACATTTGTGCGTGAAGGCACAACAGCCTCGGTCGACGACCTGCTGAAAGGTATTATTATTCAATCAGGCAATGACGCCAGTATTGCTATGGCTGAGCATATCGCCGGTAGCGAAGCGGCGTTTGCCAACATGATGAATCAACAGGCTGCCGTTCTCGGCATGAAAGACAGTCATTTCACCAACTCAACGGGATTGCCAGATTCAGAACACTACAGCTCGGCATGGGATCAGGCTATTTTGACCATAGATCTGATTGAGCGTTTTCCTGAACACTACGATCTGTATTCCCAGCGCAGCTTCAGCTACAACGATATTGATCAGCCGAATAGAAACAAGCTGCTCTGGCGTGATAAATCTGTGGATGGGGTGAAAACCGGTTACACCAAAGAGGCGGGCTATTGCCTGGTTGCTTCCGCTGTACGCCAGGGCATGCGCTTGGTCTCGGTAGTGATGGGCACGGACAGCGATCAGGCGCGCATGCGTGAGAGTCAGAAGTTGCTGTCGTATGGTTTCCGCTACTATGAAACCCAGTCCCTGTATGAAGCAGATGTCATGCTCAAAGAGCAGGATATTTATTACGCTGAAGCTGACACCATCAGTCTTGGAGTTGCCGATGATGTTGTGCTGACGTTCCCGCGCGGTTATTACAAAGATATCGAAGCCGAGCTGGAAGTGCCCAAGGTGCTTGAGGCGCCGCTGAGCGCCGGTGATGAGGTTGGGGAGCTCAAGCTGAAGTTGCATGGCGAGATCATTTTTGAAGCACCATTGATCACTCTCGCCGATGCCCCTGAAGCAGGTATCTTCAGCCGCTTAGGTGATTTCCTGACGTTGTTTTTCAAAGAGCTGTTGGACTCCTGATTGTATGGAACCGCCACGCATAGAATTCCCCTGCGATTACCCCATCAAGGTGATCGGTGAAGTCAGTGACGATGGCATCGGTGAGATTGTTGCCATTGTTCGTCAGCATGCCCCTGAAGTCACCCCTGATCAGGTGAGCATCCGTGATAGCCGAAACGGTAATTTTCGTTCTGTCCGCGTCACCATTGTTGCCACCGGCGAAGAGCAGCTGCGTATTCTGCATGAAGACCTGATAGCACTGCCAAATGTCCGTCTGGTGTTGTAATGCACCCGGTGATCATCACAGACCTGGGTGTCAGTCTTTATGAAACTGTCTTCCAGGATATGCAGGCTTTTACCGCGGCAAGGGATGACAGTACCTCAGATGAAATCTGGCTGACCGAGCACCATCCGGTTTTCACTCAGGGGCAGGCGGGCAAAGCCGAACACCTTTTGGCGCCCGGGAACATTCCCGTTGTGCAATCTGATCGCGGTGGTCAGGTCACCTATCACGGTCCAGGTCAGATAACGGCCTACCTGATGTTCGACCTTCGTCGTCTGGGCTTAGGGGTGCGTAATCTCGTTACTGGTATTGAAGAAGCCATGGTGGATACGCTGGCTGCATACGAAATCGAAGCCGCGCCGCGGGCAGATGCACCCGGCGTTTACATTGGCGATGACAAAATTGGTTCCCTGGGCTTAAGGGTCCGCAGGGGCTGCAGCTACCATGGTTTAAGTCTTAATGTGGATATGGATCTCGAGCCATTTTCGCGTATAAACCCATGCGGGTTGTTTGGTATTCAGGTGGCTCATATGGCGCAGTTTAGAGCCGTTAAGCTGCAGGATGTTCAACGTCAGCTGGTGGCGTCGCTGCTTAGCCAATTCAAGCTTGAGGAGAGCAAACAGGACAGTTAAGACGCTTGTTGAGGGTCAATTTGCGCCATTCCATGTATTTTGCATCGAAATAGAGCACATGCCCAACTAAACTCTCGCCAACACCTGTTATCAGCTTTACCGCCTCAAGTGCCTGACACGTCCCGATCACGCCCACTAGCGGTGCTATCACCCCATTTTCGGCGCAGTTCAAATCTGCACCTTCCTGATCCGGATAGAGGCAGCTGTAGCAGGGCGATGTTTTCTGGTTAGCATCAAAAACAGCGACCTGGCCTTCCCAACGTATTGCTGCCCCGCTCACGAGGGGTGTGCTCGTCTGCCAACAGGTTTTGTTGATCATATGTCGACTGGCAAAATTATCCGTGCAATCCAGCACCAGGTCGACATCTGCAATTTTCGCGCGAAGCTCGTTCTCTTCAAGACGTGTCGTTTGTGTTTCTGTTTGTACGTAGGGATTGAGTGCCTGGATAGTCTGCGCTGCAGACACAGCTTTGTTTGTTCCGATAGCGTCCTGTGTATGTGCGATCTGGCGTTGCAGATTTGATAACTCAACCTCATCGTCATCGCACAGGAGCAATCTGCCAACGCCTGCTGCAGCCAGGTAGAGTGCTGCAGGTGAGCCAAGGCCGCCAATGCCCATAATCATCACACGGCTGTTCTGTAGCGCTTCCTGGCCGGCGATGTCTACCTCCGGCAGCATGATCTGCCGGCTATAGCGGAGTAACTCAGCGTCCTGCATGTTGGGCCATTGTGACGCGGTTAATGCCGGCCAGATCTTTTCTGGACTGTACGTTCACCAGTCCAGCGGCAGACATCAGTTGTTGTACGGCTATGGCCTGATCGTATCCGTGTTCGATGAGCAAGTACCCGTCTGGATTCAGCTGCCTCGACGCCTGGCAAATAATCTGCCGTATATCATCCAGCCCGTCCTTGCCGGCAACCAGTGCCTGTCTGGGTTCAGCCAGCAGGTCTGGTAAATGCGGGTCGCTGTCGGCGATGTAAGGTGGATTGCTGACAATCACGTCCCATTGTGATGTGTTGTCCTGTAACCAGGATTGCTGGCGAAAGGTCACGTCAACATTCAGGTTGCAGGCATTGTCGCGCGCTACGTTGAGCGCAGCGCAAGATAAATCAATGGCGGTGATAGCCAGATCGGGCCGTTCGGTCTTTGCCGCGATAGCGATCGCGCCGCTACCGGTGCCCAGATCGATCATGCTGCCTCCGATCGGGGCCAGCTCGATAACCAGTTCAACTAACAATTCTGTTTCCGGTCGAGGAATGAGGACATCTGGCGTTACGCGTAGATCCAGACCCCAGAATTCTCTGCTGCCAGTGATGTAAGCAAACGGCTTACCCTCGTGCAGCTGGTTAATGAAAAGCTGTAATTGCTGCAGGGCATGGGGGGGTATTTCGCGTTCGGGGTAAGCCAGTATCTGTGCCCGACTCAGATCCATGACCTGACCCAGCAAAAGCTCGCATTCGATCAGCGGTAGATCGCTATTATGCTGGAGCCATTGTTTTACCGGTGTCACTGAGTCGCGCCAAGTTGCTGCAGAAGGTCCGCCTGGTGCTCCTGGATGAGCGGTTCTATAACGGAGTCCAGTGCGCCTTCCATGACCTCATCGAGCTTGTACAACGTCAGGTTTATGCGGTGATCTGTGACGCGACCCTGAGGGAAGTTATAGGTGCGTATCCTTTCTGATCGGTCACCTGAGCCTACAAGCTCGCGACGATTTTCTGCCTGCTCGGTTTCCTGTGCACTGCGTGCTGCGTCCAACAGCTTGGCCTGTAACAGAGACAGCGCTCGAGCTCTGTTCTTGTGTTGAGAGCGTTCATCCTGGCATTCAACAACGGTACCGGTGGGCAAGTGGGTCAGGCGTATCGCCGAATCAGTTTTATTGACGTGCTGGCCGCCTGCGCCGGATGCGCGAAAGGTATCTTCGCGAATATCTTTTTTATCAATGGCAATGCTGTTGATCTCATCGACCTCAGGCATGATGGCAACTGTACAGGCCGAGGTATGTATTCGACCTTGCGATTCGGTTTCGGGAACACGCTGCACTCGGTGCGCACCTGACTCAAACTTCAGCTGGCTGAAGACGTCTTTACCTTCAATGCGAGAAATAATTTCCTTAAAGCCGCCGTGTTCGCCGGGTCGTTCGTTGAGCACCTCTACGCGCCAACCTTTCTGCTCCGCGAACTTGCTGTACATGCGAAACAGATTGCCGGAAAACAAAGCGGCTTCGTCACCTCCCGTGCCCGCGCGGATTTCCAGAAAGACGTTGGAGTGATCGTTAGGGTCTCTGGGCAGTAACAGCGTCTGCAGTTTTGCAGTCAGTGTATCCAGGGCAATATTGGTCTGGGCAATATCTTCTTCCGCCAAAGCCCGCATTTCAGCGTCATCTTCAGCCAGAATGGCCTGGCTGTCTTCAAGGTCTGTTTCCAGTTTCTGTACGTCTCGATAGCACAAAACAACCGGTTCCAGCTCCGCAAATTCACGTGATAACCCGGCGAATTTTTCTCGATCTGCCATGACCTCAGGATCGGACAGCAGCGCGGAAACTTCTTCAAAACGGTCGTTCAAGCCGGCCAGCTTGTAGACCATAGACTCGGTGAGGGCCATCGGCGTTATTCTTCTTGGTTTTTGATTTGATCGGGGTCGGTGTCGACATCATAAAGAATGCGCAGGTAGTCGAGCAGGTCAGCTCGACCGTCTGCACTGGCGTCACGGATAGCCATGGTCGGGGCGTGTATCAACTTGTTAGTCAGATCGTTGCTCAGGCGCTCCAGCACTCGCTCCGGGTCGGTGCCGCGCTGTAAATCTTTTTTGGCCCGCGACAGAGACTCCGCCTGTATGGTTTTCGCCTGATCGCGAAATGCCCGCAGCAGGGCCTGGTCTTTCTGCACTCTGCTTTCGCGTAAAAACAGCTTGGCCCCTTGGTGGACAAAGGTTTCTGCGGAGGCTGCAGCCTGTCGTCGTTGGGCGATATTGCCTTCAATAATCGCGGATAGATCATCGATTGTGTACAGGTAAACATCGGGCAATTCACCAACACCGGCTTCAATGTCTCGCGGTACAGCAATGTCCACCATGAATATCGGGCGTCGGCGTCTCAGTTTGATGGCTGCCTCAGCCGCGCCTTTTCCAACAATGGGTAGTGAGCTGCCAGTCGAGCCAATCACGATATCGAATTCAGCTAACCGCTCAGCAACATCGGTCAACTGCATATAATCGGCTTCGTACTTTGCAGCCAGCAGTTCAGCGTTGACCAATGTACGGTTGGCAATCGCCATGTGGCCTATACCCTGGCTGGCGAGGTGTTCCGCTACCAGGCCGATGGTTTCGCCGGCACCTAACAGAAGTGCACGTTTGGAGCTCAGGTCACTGAATATCTGCTGTGCTAAGGAAACGGCGGCGTATGCCACTGAAATCGGATTGCGGCCGATATCTGTCTGGGTGCGGACTTCTTTTGCGGTGCGCAGAATAATTTGTGACAGCAGTCCCAGTTCCGGGCCCATGGTGCCGCAGGCGCGTGCCGTCTCGTAGGCGGCTTTGACCTGCCCCATAATTTGCGGCTCACCCAATACCTGGCTGTCGAGGCCTGCGGCTACCCGAATCTGGTGCCTGGCTGCGTCCTGATCCCAATGTGTGTATGAGGCATCTTGTAATTCACTGGTTGATACTGGCCGATAGCGGCTCAACCAGGCGGCCAGGTCGGGTTCCGCCTCGGGATGCAGCGCACAGTACAGCTCAGTGCGATTGCACGTAGAGATGATGGCCGCTTCCTGCACGCCGGGCACGTCGCGCTTAACCTGAACTAAGGCATCGGTGACGTAGTCTTCCGGGAAAGCCACGCGCTCACGCAGCTCGACGGAAGCCGTGCGATAGTTTAAACCGTATGCCAATATGCTCATTGCGTGGAAAATGGACCCGAAGTAGGGCGGATGATAGCAGATTGTGGACAGAACAACTTAGTAGCTAAGTCTCTAATTTTAAACAGCATTTTGTTGACGTTTTTGCTAGCGGGCTGTGTTGCCAAACCGCTTGTACCGCCGGACGAGCTGAATTTTCAGATTTTAGGCAAAATTGGCGTCAAACAGGACGGCGAAGGCTTTTCGGCTAATTTTGACTGGCGGCAGCACAGTCAGGCGCGCTACGAGATCGATGTGTGGGGTCCTTTGGGCCAGGGGCGGACACAACTCAAGGGAGACCAGAGGGCTATGCAAGTCAGCCGTGGCGAGCAGATACTGGCTCTGGGGCAGCCTGAAGAGGTCATGTTGGCCCATCTGGGCTGGTCTCTGCCGCTGGATGTGCTGCCAGCCTGGATTCGCGGGGAGCCCGCTGCTCAGTACCGTTACGATACGACAGGCCGCGATGAACAGGGCAGGTTTGTCGAATTTACCCAGGCTGGTTGGGTGGTTTCTCTGAGCCGTTACGATCAGCGCGATGGCTTAACTACGCCCGGGCGCATCAAAGCCAGTCAGGCGGATAAGACCATTACGGTGGTTGTGCGTGAATATCTGCAATAAACCGTCGATTTCAAGCTTTTGGGATACCTGCAGCGTCTGCCGCATTCGTTTGACACTGGGGGTGCTGATCAGCACAATAGCGCGCTCGAAAAATTGGGGTGTCGCCAAGCGGTAAGGCACCGGGTTTTGATCCCGGCATGCGCAGGTTCGAATCCTGCCACCCCAGCCATACTCTGCAAAGATCCAGTATGTTCACACGCATAATTATTAGCGGGAGAAACAATCTTGGCTAATTTGATGCTTTTTGCCGGTGGCGCTAATCCGGAACTGGCGCGGCGCGTAGCAAAAAAGTTGCGGGTGGAACTGGGCAGAGCGGACGTGGGTCGGTTCAGTGATGGCGAGGTCATGGTCGAAATTCATGAGAACGTCCGCGGTCACGATGTGTTCCTGTTGCAATCAACATGTGCGCCGACAAACGACAGCCTGATGGAACTGCTGATCATGGCTGATGCAATCAAGCGTGCATCTGCCACTCGGGTCACCGCGGTGATTCCGTATTTTGGCTACGCTCGACAGGATCGTCGGCCGCGATCGGCGAGAGTCTCGATCAGTGCAAAAGTGGTTGCGGACATGATAGGTGCGGTGGGTGTGGATCGAATCCTGACCGTGGATCTGCATGCTGACCAGATCCAGGGATTTTTTAATATTGCAGTAGACAATGTTTACGGTTCGCCAGTACTGGTCGACCATGTCTCTGCGCAGGGATACAGCAACCCGATAGTGGTATCGCCAGACGTTGGCGGTGTGGTTCGAGCCAGAGCCATTGCGAAACAGATTGACGATCTGGATCTGGCCATTATTGATAAGCGGCGTCCACAGGCCAATGAATCGAAGGTCATGAACGTTATAGGTGACGTCCGGAGTAAAGTCTGCATTCTGGTAGACGACATTGTTGATACGGCGGGAACGTTGTGCACCGCTGCCCAGGCGTTAAAAGATGAAGGTGCGGCGCAGGTAGTGGCTTATATCACGCATGCGGTTTTGTCCGGACCTGCAATCGAGCGAATTGCTGATTCGCAGATCGACCAGATGGTGGTCACCGATACCATCCCGCTCAGTGAAGCGGCACGAGCGTGTCAGAAAATCACGCAGTTGAGTTTAGATAGCTTGCTGGCCGAATCGATTCGGCGGGTGAGTAATGAAGAGTCTATATCAGCTATGTTCAGATAAGCGGTTCTAATCGGACCCGCGCTGAACAAGACTGAGATAGACACAACTGTCCGTTTGGTTGGTCGCAGATCAGACGGATTTATTAACTTGAAGGAGAAGCGAATGTCAGATGTATTAGAACTGACTGCTGAGCTCCGTACAGACGTAGGGAAAGGTGCGAGCCGCCGCCTGCGTCGTGCGGGTAAAAGAGTTCCGGCAATTATTTATGGTGGCGAAGAGTCCCCCCAGAACCTGACCCTGGCTGTGAACCAGCTGGTTAAGGTGATGGAACAGGAAACTTTTTACTCGCAGATCTTAAACGTCGTTGTTGATGGTCAACCTACCAAGGCGGTTGTACGCGATCTGCAGCGTGATCCTGCGTCGAACAAAGTGCACCACGTGGACTTTCAACGCATTGACATGTCCAAAGTCATGCACGCGACAGTGCCAATCCACTTCATTAACGAAGACAACTGTGTCGGCGTAAAAATGAATGGCGGTAGCATTCTGCACAACATGACCGATGTTGAGATCAGCTGTCTGCCGACAGATCTACCTGAATACATTGAAGTGGACATGAAGGATGTAGATGTTGGCTATTCCATACATCTTTCTGGTCTGGCTTTACCAGCGGGTGTCTCCTTGTTGGCGTTCTCTCACGGCGATGATGATCAGGATCACGATATCCAGGTCGTGAGCGTGGAAGTCCTGCGTGGCAGCGAAGCGGCAGAAGACGAAGATGCTGTAGAGCCAGCTGGCGAAGTTCCAACTGTCGCTGACGACGATAAAGACAACGCAGACGACGAGTCTTAAGCAAGCCAGTGGGTCTGTGATGAACATATCCACTGCGGCTTATGTCTGCCATTAGACTGATAGTTGGCCTCGGTAACCCCGGTGCCAGCTATCAAGCCACTCGGCATAACGTTGGTGAATGCTGGGTGCGTGAGCTGGCCGAGCGTTTTGCAATCACTCTGGCGTCGGAAACTAAATTCAAAGGTGACATCGGGCGTGGAGATATCCTCGGTCATGATGTGCGATTGCTCATTCCCACAACCTATATGAATCTCTCTGGAGACTCGGTGGGTGCTGTACAGCGCTTCTTTAAGATTCCGCCGGAGTCGATTCTTGTTGTTTATGATGAAATGGCTTTTGTGCCAGGGGTCGTGCGCCTGAAACAAGGTGGTGGTGACAACGGTCATAATGGCATCAGAAGCGTGCGTTCCGGACTGGGAAACAATCCCGATTTTATGCGCCTGCGTATTGGTGTTGGTCACCCTGGTAGTCCTTCAAAGGTGACCGCTTATCTCACGCAACAGGTAATGCCTTTGGATGAGCGTATTGAAGTTGAGCGGTGCACGGCATTTGACGACGATTTATTAAATAACATTCTGCAAGGCAATTGGCAGCAGGCCATGAACGTCTTGCATGCAACCGGAGAATCCTAGTGGGCTTTAAATGCGGCATTGTTGGTATGCCTAATGTGGGTAAATCCACTTTGTTTAATGCATTAACCAAAGCGGGTATTGACGCTGAAAATTTCCCTTTCTGCACCATCGACCCCAACACGGGTATTGTGCCGGTTCCAGATCCTCGTCTGGAAAAGCTTGCGGAGCTTGTACATCCAGAAAAGATTGTGCCCGCGACCATGGAGTTTGTGGATATTGCAGGGCTCGTTGCCGGCGCGGCTCAGGGTGAAGGGTTGGGTAACAAATTCCTTGCGCATATCCGCGAAACAGATGCGATTGCTCACGTCGTCCGATGTTTTGACGATGACAACGTGGTGCACGTGTCAGGAAAAGTTTCGCCGAAAGACGATATCGAAATCATTAACACAGAGCTTGCACTTGCGGATCTGGAAACGCTGGAACGGGTTTACGATCGTAATCGCAGAGTGTCCAGCTCTGGTGATAAAGCCGCGCTGGCGATGCTTCAGATTCTCGACAAGGTGAAGGACAAACTGGAAGCAGGTTTGCCAGTACGATCGGCGGGTTTGACAGATGATGAAAAACTGGCGATACGCGAGTTTCACTTCATCACCAGTAAACCGGTCCTGTACATCGCCAATGTGGCGGAAGATGGTTTAACCGATAATCCGCTGGTCGACATTGTGAGAGATATTGCTGAGCAGGAGCATGCTGAAGTGGTTGTTGTCAGCAACCAGATCGAGTCGGAAGTGGCTGAGCTTGATGATATTGAGCGGGCAGAGTTTCTCGAAGATCTGGGTATTGAAGAGCCGGGCTTGAACCGGGTAATACGCGCAGGGAACAAGTTGTTAGGCCTGCAGCAGTACTTCACCGCCGGACCTCTGGAAGTGAGGGCGTGGACTATACCCATAGGCGCAAAAGCGCCAAAAGCAGCCAGCGTTATTCACACAGATTTTGAGAAAGGTTTCATTCGTGCCGAGGTGATCAGCTACGATGACTTTGTTACCTACAAAGGTGAACAAGGGGCTAAAGACGCCGGTCGCTGGCGCCTGGAAGGTAAGGAATATGTTGTCGCCGATGGCGACGTTGTGCACTTTCGCTTTAACGTATAAGCAAAGCAGGGAGGCCCCGGATCAGATTTCGTCCGGGGTGTTCACGAACAGTGCGATAAGCGCAATCATACCGCCATAGCGAAATGCGGAATCCAGTACAGGGCCGCGCATAACATCTGAACGCCACAGCTCGTACCAGGTTTCGGCGATGACAATAAAGCCCCCAAACAACATGAACAACGCTATCGCACAGCCGCTCAAGGCTAGCTGTTTGCTGCGTTGAAATTCCGCTGTGCTGGCGCGCCGCGCGCGCCACATCTGCCTGCTACCCGCCAGACAGAGTCCACCGCTGATAATCTTGCTGACAACGATAAATAAAGCACCCAGCCAGATTAGAATGTTGTTGGAGGTTGCCTGCCAGCTTTCGGCACCATCTTCGAACGTGGCCATTGAGGTTGCTGCGCCAACAGCGCCGAGTGTACCCTGCCAATCAGCAAAGTTCTGAAAAGCAGCAAGCAAACCCCAGCTGGCGACAACCAGAATCAGAAGCGTTTTTGTAATACGCAGCATGCTGAGGCCTGAAAATTATTTCTTGGCTTTCTTTTTCAGGCGCTTTTTCAGCTTTTTATTGGCTTTGCGCAGCGCCGCAATCTCATCCTGCAGGCTTTCTTTGGCGGATGCCTTTTTAGCTGAAAAATGTTCTTTACGACTTTTCAGAATCACTTTTTTACGGTCGAAGTTCGAATTGAAAACAGTCACCCCTTCAAGATTTTCGCTGCCGGTGTTGCACACGGCGTGAAACTTGCCGGCCGGTACAATCGCAACGGAACCAGGGCACAAATCGAACGTGTCGTTCTCGATTTGAATCTGTCCGTGGCCTTTCTGCACGATGAGCATCTCTTCGACTATGGTATGACTATGGCCAGCGTTGGCTTCTCCCGGTGCCATACACACGGCGACAAAACCCAGTTCGTTTAATTTGGCGGCACGTACCGCCCGCGCGGCTTCAAAGTCTGTTGAATTCAGTACGGTTTGCATGATTCGAGCGCCTTAGATTTGTTCGGTCGATTACTTTAGCGGCAAATTCCCGGAAAATCACGGCTATCTGTCTGTGTTACAGGCATAAAAAAAGCAGCGTTGAGAACAACGCTGCTTTTCGGTTCAAGCTTCGGTCTGTTTAGGACGTTGCTGCTTTTCGTGCCTTCACTTCTGTGATGACGCTTTCTGACACATTTGCCGGACACGGTGCGTAGTGTGAGAACTCCATGGAGAACTGACCACGACCAGACGTCATGGTGCGCAGGTCGCCAATGTAGCCAAACATTTCGGCCAGCGGACAATCAGCTTTGACGCGAACGCCGGTTACGCCCGCCTCTTGAGATTTGATCATGCCGCGTCGACGGTTAAGGTCACCGATAACATCACCAACATGATCGTCAGGTGTGAACACATCCACCTTCATCACAGGCTCCAGCAGCTGTGGTGAAGCTTTAGGAATACTCTGACGGTAGGCAGCTTTGGCAGCCAGTTCGTAAGCAATTGCTGAAGAGTCGACGGGGTGGAAACCACCATCAGTCAGCGTGACTTTGACGTCGAGCAGCGGGAAGCCGGCGAGGGTGCCTTCTTCCATGGAAACGCCAAAGGCTTTTTCAACTGCGGGCCAGAATTCCCGTGGTACGTTGCCGCCGGTGACCTTGGATTCAAACTCGTAGCCGCTGCCGGCTTCACCAGGCTCGATGATGTAGTCGATTTTCGCAAACTGACCTGCACCACCTGTCTGTTTCTTGTGCGTGTAGCTGTCTTCGATACGCGTGGTGATGGTTTCGCGGTAAGCAACTTGAGGTTTGCCCACATCCACATCGATACCGTGGGTTCGCTTCAAGATGTCTACTTTGATGTCCAGGTGTAATTCACCCATGCCGCGCATGATGGTTTCACCTGATTCTTCGTCAGTTTCAACATAGAAGGACGGGTCTTCAGCAATCATCTTGGACAATGCGATGCCCATTTTCTCCGCGCCAGCTTTGTCACGTGGCGCAATCGCCACGGAGATAACCGGTGCTGGGAATACCATCGGTTCCAGGGTTGCGGGTTTAACCGGATCACACAGGGTGTGGCCTGTCTGGGTATTTTTCATGCCCAGCAGCGCAACAATGTCACCCGCCTGAGCTGAATCCATCTCATTCCGCGAGTCTGCATGCATCTCCACGATCCGGCCGATACGCTCAGTTTTGCCGGTGAATGTGTTGAGGACGGTGTCCCCTTTAGCAATGCGGCCTGAGTAGATACGGGTAAACGTAAGTGCACCGTAACGGTCATCCATAATTTTGAACGCCAGCGCTCGCAGTGGGTAATCTGGATCGACAATGGCTTTACCGCCGGTTTCGTTACCTTCCAGATCTACTTCGGGTTGAGGCTCTACTTCCATTGGGTTGGGCAGATAATCGACTACACCATTCAGAACGTTCTGTACGCCTTTATTTTTGAACGCTGAACCACAGAATGTCGGGAAAAAATCTAATGCAATGGTACCTTTGCGGATACAACGCTTGATGTCATCAATTGAAGGCTCTTCGCCCTCAAGATAGGCTTCCATGAGGTCATCGTCCTGCTCAAGGGCGGTTTCCACCAGCTTTTCACGGAACTCTTCAACCTTATCTACCATGTCGGCAGGTACTTCTTTGATGTCGTAGGCTTCCGGATTGCCACTCTCGTCCCAGACGTATGCTTCGCGGGTCAGTACATCCACCACGCCGCAGAAATTGTCTTCTTCACCAATAGGCAAGGTCATAACCAGCGGTACTGCGCCGAGAACTTTTTCGACCTGATCAATAACGCGGTAGAAGTCGGCGCCAAGGCGGTCCAGCTTGTTGACAAAAATCAGGCGGGCAACCTCAGATTCGTTAGCGTAGCGCCAGTTGGTTTCTGACTGAGGTTCAACCCCGCCGGACCCACAGAATACGCCAACACCACCATCCAGTACTTTCAGCGAACGATATACTTCAATGGTGAAGTCAACGTGTCCCGGTGTGTCAATGATATTCAGACGGTGTCCATTCCATTCACACGACGTCGCAGCGGATTGAATCGTAATCCCGCGCTCCTGCTCTTGTTCCATGAAGTCGGTGGTTGCTGCACCATCATGAACTTCGCCGGTTTTATGGATTTTACCGGTGAGTTTAAGGATGCGTTCGGTCGTGGTGGTTTTACCCGCATCCACGTGTGCAAAGATGCCGATGTTCCGATAGAGCGCTAAGTCAGTCATGTTGGTTCTCTAAAAGTCTCTTTATGGGTAGCTCTCGCAACGTAACTTATTGATAAATAAGGATATTTTAATAGAGCAGAATTCTCGAGCGCGTACCTTACCATTGAACGTGTTAAAGCTCACGTGAATTATTAGGCCAGTCTGCGCTCTAATTTAATGTCAGCTGTGCAGATCGGCATATACAGGAGCGTGATCGGAGGCGGTAAGGCCATCAAGCTTTTTGCGATAATCTCGATCTATGACCACTTCCCGGGTAGCTGCCACTGCTGCTTGAGTGCCGAGCAGAAAATCGATGCGCAGACCGTGTTTACGGTGGAATGCGCCCCCTCGATAGTCCCACCATGAAAAGGCCTGTTCTTCAGGATAAAGATGGCGATAGAGGTCGGTCAGACCGGTATCCATGACAGCCGCAAAACGTTTGCGCTCATCCTCTGTGTAAAAAATGGTACCTGCGCCGGCCTCACCACGCCAGCCGTCAAGTGCGGTTGGCACAATGTTGAAATCTCCGCATAGAACACGCTTGGGGTGATCGCCCGCAGACCAGTGTGCAACCAGGCTGTCATACCAGGCCAGTTTGTTTGCATAGTCGTCATGTTGCAGCGACTTGCCATTGGGGCAATAGACCGTGGTGAATTCAATCCCGCCGTCAATCTCTGCCGTAATCAAACGTGCGCCCCAGTCCTCCTGGCCTGGCAGCCCGACCTGGCGTAATTCTGCGTCTACATTTGTCAGAATGGCTACGCCATTCCAACTCTTCTGCCCGTGTACAAGGGCCTTGTATCCGAGCGCTTCGAATTCCTCATGCGGAAAGTCTTCTGTGGGTGTCTTCAGCTCCTGCAAGCCGACGACATTGGGTTTTCGGTCTGCAAGCCAGAGCTTCATGAAGTCTAATCGGGCGCGTAGCCCATTGATGTTCCAGGTCGCTATTCGCATGTTGTGTTTGTGCCAGTCCCGGCGGGTCATTTTTCGAACCGGCACAATACCGCAAGCAAGCCGTCATTGTCTCTCACCAGGTTGAGGCCGGTTGCCTCGCCTGCAAATTCAGGCGGATAATGCGCCGCTTATGCCGCACCGCTGTACTACTCATGTTGTCTAAAATTGTGCTTCGAGACCCCGACGAAGGGTGCTGGTATGTCTATGAGCATCCGGTTCAGGTGGTCTCCACAACCTGTCTGGCAGACGTTGAAGCCACTTTGCAGGTGGTCGAGGACCTGGTTGACAAGCAGGGGTGGTATGCCGCTGGCTTTGTGAGTTACGAGGCTGCTGCAGGGTTTGATGCAAAGCTGGAAACGCAACAGCCGGATTCGCTGCTGCCTCTGGTGTGTTTTGGTTTATTTGCTGCGCGTGTTCCACTGCAGAGTTTGACCAGTGAAACAGATTCGAGTGCAGACGCCGTCAGCAGTATTCGGGAGGCGCCAATAAACTGGCAGATGGTAGATACACCGGACAGCTACAAGACACGGGTAGAGTTGATCAAACAACATATCGCTGCCGGCGAAACCTACCAGGTCAACCTCACCACCCAACTACAGGGTGATGGGCAGGTGAACTTTGCCACTTTCTGCCGGATAGCCCGTGATGCACCCTACGGCGCCTATATCAGCGCTGCTAACTTTGACATCGTTTCAGCATCCCCTGAACTCTTTTTCCAGTGTGATCGGGATACGGTGACCTGCCTGCCGATGAAAGGCACCGCACCTCGCGGGTTCAGTGCAATGCAGGATCAACGCCAGGCGCAGTGGCTGCAAAACTCGGTAAAAAACCAAGCCGAAAATCTGATGATTACCGATATGGTGCGTAACGATCTGGGGCGGGTTGCGCTGCCTGGCTCGGTTGTGACGTCAGAGCTGTTTGATGTGAACGCTTTTTCAACAGTTTGGCAAATGACGTCCACAGTCACCGCGCAAACGCCCCTCGGTGTGACCGATCTGTTTCGCGTCCTGTTTCCGGGTGCCTCCATAACCGGGGCGCCAAAGCGGGCCAGCATGGCGTTTATCCAACAATATGAAACAACTGCGAGGGCAGTGTATACCGGCGCGATCGGGATGCTGGCGCCTGGTCGTATTGCTCGATTCAGTATCGCTATTCGCACCGCGTGGTCTGATAAGAAGAACAATAGAAGTTTTTATGGTGCCGGTTGCGGTATCGTTTGGGATTCTGATGCGGCTGCAGAATTGCGGGAACTGCAACTGAAAACTCAAGTGCTTGCAACGCAGCGGCAGGAATTTCGGTTGATAGAAACCATGCGCTGTACACCTGACGGTATTTTTATGCTGGACGGACATCTTGCCCGTCTCCAGAACAGCGCTGATTACTTCAGCTTTGTCTGCGATCAGCATGCAATAAAAGCAGAGCTGGCAGCTCTGCGTGTAGATCATCCCGTGAAAGTGCGTTTGACGCTGGCTCGAGATGGTCGCGTTGATATTGAAGTTACAGAAATTCCCAGCAACCCCTCACCACAGCCAATAATGCTGACGCCGAAAGCTGTTGATACCCAGCAACCCTGGCTCTATCACAAAACAACCTGTCGTGAGGTTTATGACGCGGCAAGCAGTCAGGTGCCAGATGGGTGTGAAGCAGTGCTGGTCAACAGCGCGGGGTTTGTTACCGAATCTGTTATTGCAAACGTTGTTTATCAGCTGGATGGGAAATTATTTACCCCACCCGTTGATGACGGCTTGTTACCCGGCGTCTTACGTACGGCTGAAGTTTCTGCAGGAAATGTGGTTGAGCGCTCGCTTCAGATTTCACACGTCGATGAAGTTGAACGATGGTTCCTTGTAAATACACTGCGGGGCTGGCGTGAAGCAAGCTTTCGTAAGGCAGCAAACTCGCCTTGAAAGCTTGATTGCCTGGGGCGACAGCGCGTCCTGGCTAGGACGCCAGGGCAATGTTTGCGGGTTCACGGAAGTCTTTGCGGCCGGGTATGTAGGTCGCTATCCTGGGCACTTCGCGCAGTGTGATACACATGTCTTTTAAACCGCGTTGTTCGGCGTCGCGTTCAACCAGGTTGCAAATTTCACGCGCCACATTGGCGCCAGTGACACATTGCAACATGCCATATTCCTCGTTGATACGCGCGCCGGCCAGATAGGCATCTGCACCAGCGGCGTTAAAACGTGCGTAAGCAATATTCAGTCCTGGCGCGCCAGCATCTAAAAGCATATCCATGACCATTGAGCATTGTTCTCGTTTGGCCCAGGCAGACAGGCAAACCTGCTCTTTTGCCTGTGTGGTTTCTGTTCGCAGAACGTCTACACCCACGCCGCGTCCCTGGCCACCGATATTAAACACAGACTGATCTCGCCAGTGCGTATGACCACTTAAGTGGTCGATGGCATTAATGATCTGCTGCATGTTGGCATCGTAGTGGTGATGAGAAATTCTACTGGGCAGGTTGAACATGCCACGATCGATTTTCAGTCGATACATGAATCCCCGGCCCGGCAAGTGCAGATCTCCTGCTTTAGCCATCGCTTCGAAGACACCGTCGGCATCGCTTTCTTCGGTGATCACCATCATCACCTCTTTTTCGTGTTCTTTGGTAATGCGCAGCCAACCCAGTCGGTCACGCAGGCCGCGTCCCTCACAGTAGTAAACAACCGGGCCATGTGTCCCTGAATTGATAGCTGCTTTGGACACGCGATCAGCATTATTGTGCCCCACTATGGCCAGGATGATGCTGAGGTCTTCGGTAAGGCTGTGTTGACTGCTTGTTACCCCTGCACCTTCACGACCAGGCCAGACGTGGAATTCGGAGCCCAGGTATACAGAATCACAAGGCGTACTGAATACTGCGCCAGTGGCCTGCTGGTGGAGGCGCCCGGTTTCAACAATGGTGCTCACAAGTCGCGCCACGTCCGCATCGGGTACAAGCATCTGCAGCATGGTTTTTGCCGGGCTGATGGGTGGCAGCCAACGCTTCCACCAGTGATCCTGTAACAACGTGCCGCGTGCTTTCCAGACCAGTGCGCTGGTGCCCGGGTCTTCAAGTACCACCGGCAAAACGCTGTTTGTATTTGCGTTAGGCAGGATGGCTGTAACAATCGAGAATTTGTCGCCATTTGCGAACATCAGGTTGCCTCCGCTTCGATCAGTTCGGCATCATCAGCTGATACCTCAGCAGTGTTGTCCCGCTGGCTGTATTGGGTATACAAACCCACCGTTAAAACTGTCAGGATCGGCCCCACGGATGCCAGTGCCAGAATGCCGAACCCATCGGCAACGCCAGGTACGTTGGCACCCACGCCGAGCCCCATTGCCAGAACTAACGGTACAGTTATGGGGCCGGTGGTTACACCTGCACTGTCCCAGCTGAAGTTGACAAAGCTATGAGGCGATATCCAGGTCAAAACCAGAACTAACAGATAAGGTGGAATCAGCATCCATATAAGGGGAAGGTTATAGGCCATTTTAAATATGCCGGCCGCGATCCCGAAACCGACCCCAACGGCAACACTCTGCATGAGCAGTTTTTTGCGGAAGGCGCCGACCGTAATTCGTTCAACCGTATCACCCAGTGCATTCAGTGCAGGTTCGGCCAACGTTGCACCATAGCCGAGGAAAAAGGCGAAACCGATGGCAACAAATTTGCCCCAGTGATCGCTGAATAATGGGCCTTCAACGTGGTCGAGTCCCCAGGGTAATATCTCTGCAAACGCAACAGGCACGTTGCTGCCCAGTTGACCACCCAGTGGTGTTAAACCCAGAGCAATACCCAGGCCAAACAAGGTCATGCCGGCAAAAGCAAACAGAACTCCGATACCGACGTCGTTGCGCGGCGCCAGCCGCTGGCGTAATACCAGCCGCAGCACGATATACAGGAACAGACACAGAGGGATGATGGCGCGCAGTGCATCCATTCCCGCGGCGCTGAGTTTGTCTGAAAAATTGCTTTGTTCGTCCCAGGTCTGATCGCTGAGGACTTCGAAGTCGCGCTGATACAATTTCTTGATGGTCAGATCAGGTCTCTCAACGGTTATAACGCCGTTATCCAGTTCTGCTGAACCGCCATGAAATTCAAGCACATATCCTTGAGGTAACTTGCCGCTGCGCAGGTATTCGGCGTATTCATCTGAATCGATGGGCTCAAGACTTTTTTCCAAGGTAGGTGTGCTGTTGTTGTTCTGAGCAGCTGTTTCAATTTCTGTGGAGCCTGTGTAGTTGGCTGCTCCCCAGTAGTCTTGTTGGGCATAGTGGAGCAGCGACAGGCACAGCACGGCAAGAATGGGAAACAAAGAAGCCAATGTGACGATTCCAAAACCGGAATGTCCACCACTGCCATTGCCGCTGCTGACAACACGACAGACACCTATGCCCAGGGCCAGTACCAGAGGAACAGTAACCGGTCCGGTGGTAACAGCGCCGCAGTCCCAGGCTAAACCCAGCACGTCAGCTAACACAGGCACGCGAGAAAAATAGAACGACAGCGCCAGTAACAGGCCGACAACAGGTATTGCCAGATATTTGAGCGGCCAGGCAAAAAAGAAGCGTAAGACACCAATCATCACGGCTAAGCCCACGCCAACGCCAACTGAGCCGACAAGCTGACCGGAGAAGTCGTTTAACAAGCTGTATAACAAAGGTGCCTGGTCTGGTTTTACACCTGCACCCGCTGCTTTGAGCACCGCGATGGCGGGTTCGGCAAAGGTGGCGCCAACACCAAGCAGAAAGGCAAAAAGAAGAATCACAGGCATGCGGCTGTTTTTGGGCAGAATCGAACCAATCTCTTCTCCCAGCGGCATAAGGCCCAGGCGCAGGCCTTCCATGAAAAACATGAGGCCGACAGCCACAACAAATATGCCGATCGCAATCATGGCGGCATAAACGATGGGTAACTGCAGAATCAGCAGCTGAAAAATAATCAGATACGCGACAATGAACCAGATACCTTCTACCTGATTCATGAAATTGCGTTTTACATATGGCCATAGGATACGCAGCGTATCGCGGGCGCCCAGTTT